CCCAGTCGTTGCTGGAAGTGATGAGAGGGGCTGGATCCAGGACAAGCACTGGGCTCTGCCCTGGGCACCAAACCTCCAGCCCCATTGCTGGATGTGGGATGTGGGCAGCATCCCAGGATGCTCCGTCCCCCTGCCTGGCCCTGGGATGCTGCTGCTGGACCCTGACCCACCACCCCCAGCCCCTCCAGCCCTGGAAAAGGGGGAGCTCATGGCATGAAGGAGCCAGCCAGAACTGGCGAAGAGACATGGCAGAGGGATGATGAAGCAGCGCTGGATGCTTTTCCACCCAGCAGGAGGAACTTGCAAGCATTTTCCTATCAGACAACCAAACAAATGAACCCCCAAATGATAATAATTAAAGAAAGGAGGAAGAATCAAAGAAAACCCTTCAGGGAGGAAGAGTTTCTTTTTCATCAGTAAGCTGCCTTTACTTGGTTTCTTTGGCTCACTCCATTGCTGGAGCCTGATCCTCAAATGATACCCTAGTGGAGTCCCTGAAGTCGGGGTGCCTCAGGTCCATGAGAAATTTGGTGGGAGTGAGAATGTGAGTAGAACCTGCAGGAGAACAGAGCGGGGCTGACGGCTGCGCCCGGGTCCCCCCCCCACCCTGTGCTGGCATGAGGAGAGGAAGGACACAGCTGCCACCCGGAGCATCGCAGGCACATGCAGGGGATGGTCCCCAGAGAGAGGTGGGATGAGATGGGCTAGAGGCGGGATGGAGCTGGGCAGTGGTGCTGGGTCCCAGGGGCTATAGGAAGTGATGGAGAGGGGGCTGCTGCTCCCAGGAGAATACAAGGAGTGGGATGAGATGCCGGCAAGAGGCTCTACCAGGCATCCCAGGCAAGAATCAAGGAACTGGATGAGATGGTGAGGGGCTCCTGCCCTACAAGATGTGTATCCAGCCATGCTCCCGTGGGGGAGTTTTGGGGATCTAAAGCTCCTTGCTAACATCTCGCAGGAATTCCACCGTGTCCTCCACGCCTGACTCATGGCTCCTCCAGGAGCTGAACACACATCCTGTCACACACATGTTGCAATGTGTGCAATGGGAAAATGCACCTCCTGATGCATTGCATGTGCAACAGGACATGTAGCGTTTGTGCAACACAAAAATGCATCTCCCGATGCATACACAGTGCCCATCGTGGTCTGTTGCACACCTCTATTTCCTGTTTGCTCCCTGTAACAACTCCAATGACGATGATGCAATGGGGGTGACAGGAGCAATTCAAGCTGCAAAACCTCCTTCCCTCTCACCCAGCTTTGCTTGAACAAATTCAGCTGGGGAGAGGAAAACTGGGAGCAAAGTTGGGGATGGGTGAGGGACATGTGCTGTCCCTGGGGAGGAGGGACAGAGGGGTGACACTCGCCGCAGGAGGAGCCCTTTCTGCAGCATTTCAGCTCCCACAGCGCTGTGGAATTGGTGGGATGGAGGAGGGAGCATGGGATGAGCAGCCAGTGCGGCGGGCGCAGGGACAGGGTCCCACTCACCTATTAGCACTTCCCACTTGCCGCTGGCTTGTGTCACCTCATAGGCGCAGCGCATCTCGTTCATGCTCACACCACCCAGGATGAAGATGATGAGGCGGGGGCCACTCCGGTACTCGCCAGGGGCCTTGTTCTTGTGCCAGTGGCCATAGCGGGCACTAAAGAGAGGAAGAGAAGGGTGAAGATGGGCATAAGGCAACCCAGAACCCCCGAACCTCCCTGTGTGCTGGGTGCAACCCCAGAGCGTGAGTAGCAGCTCAGGGGGGGGGTTCTGACCCTCCGCTTAGCTCTGGGCAG